TTAACCATTCAGGCATCATTCATTCATTCTTCACCTGTTCGTCATTTACCAGTCGCTCGATCTCCATCCTCTCACTCTTCACTCATTCTCCATCCACTTATTCTCCATTTGTCATTCACTCATCCTTCATCTATTCTTCGTTCACTCAACATTCACTCATCCTTCATCATTCACTCATTCTTCATTTACCATTCACCCATTTTTCGTTCACTCATGCTTCATTCTTTCTTCCTTCACTCATCCTCCACGCAGCCAGGCAAGGATCTACCTGGGCTCCTGGCTGCGGCCAGCCACACGGCTAGCAATCAAGACCCCGGGACTGAGACACTGTGTCTCTGCTGGGCTCAGCCATCTCAAGCAGTCGAGTGTGAGAGCAGGTCAGGATACCTGTCATTGTCTTGGCCGTGAGTTAAAAGCAGAATATTCAGGAGCACCTCGTGGGAAGAGTCCTCAGCTTCCGCCTTTTTATGTTGCTCTAATCGCCTTGGGAACCTCGGAGAATTCGCCTCTTTGAGGAGATTTTCCTTTTCTCTAATAATTTTGTTGAGATTGAGTTCACACACTCTGCATCGACCCACTTAGAACAGGCGGTTCTGAGCATCTCAGGCCATCCACAAGGCTGTGCCTCCATCACCCCAAATGTCTCCACCCCCCAAAAAATCTCTCCGTCGCCATCACCTCCCTCCTTCCCCCTGATGCCATCTCCCTCCTCTGACTGGTCTTGCTCTCAGGACATGCTGTGACCTGAGCTGAACTCTGGGTGGGGTTTCCTGGTGTGGGTGACGTTTCCCTGTGTTGGTGATGTTTCCTGGTGTCGATGATGTTTCCTGGTGTTGGTGATGTTTCCTGGTGTGGGTGATGTTTCCTGGTGTGGGTGACGTTTCCTGCTCTGGGGTCTGCTCCGAGACTCTTGGTCTCTTAGTAAAGAGACAAGGGTGGGAACTAACGCTGCAGTGTCTCCATAAAAGAGACACGTTTGTCATTCTTTCTTTTCCTCAACTTCATGAGTGTCCAGCTTGTGGTAGTGCCCAGAGACTCCACAGAGTGCCCTCCCTGTCACCTGGATTCTGCCAGCAGCATGTCACCCCCTGTGACCCCATGTCAACCCCTGTTACCCCATGTTACCCCAGCCATCCTTCTCTTGAGACAAGACCTATCTCAGGAATGGACGCAGGGGACCTGCCTCCAACCTCCCCCTTTGGAGAAGGAAAAGCTCAACCTGGCAAGCTAAGGGGTCCATGCAGGAGACTCTGAAGCCTTTGTGCGGCCCCCACGAGGCCTGCACTGTGGCGGGAGGCGGTGCTGCGTGAACGAGGATTCCAGGATCCCGTCCTTGGCCCATCCCTGGGCACATCCAGTGATCTGGACCCCCTGGGCTCCTCAGGACATTGGTCCAGGGACCGTTTCCAGCAGAATGAACCCGGGCTGCCGCGTCTGGGACTCTCGATCTCTATTTTTTGATTATTCAGTTGATTTGCCTCCTCCAGCAGCACTGAGTCTATGGGGGTCCCGTCTATGGAGGGTCCAATCTACGGGGACCCATCTATGGGGGAATCTCATCTATGGGGGTCCCATTTATGGAAGGTCCTGTCTATGGAGAGTTGCATGTATGGGGGTCCTGTCTATGGAGGATCTCGTCTATGGGGTTCACGTCTATGGAGGTTCCCATCTATGGGGGTCCTGTGTATGGAGGGTCCTTATTCATGGAGAGTTCCATTTATGGGGTCCCATCTATGGAGGTTCCTTATCCATGGAAGGTTCTATCTATGGGGGTCCCGTCTATGGGGCTTTCCTCGCTGGAATGAAGGGACTGAGTCCCTACTGGTTCCCTCCTTCTGGCCAGCTGGTCTGGCAGAGCTGATCACTGACTCAGCGGAAGCCAGTGGCCAGGACTGTGCCCCCTTGTCTGTCCTGTCCCGTTCCTCCTGTCCTGCCAACCCCTCTGGGGCTCTGTGTTGATCCCCAAAGTCAACCTTCCTCACAACCCGTGACACCAGCCCGTGCGTCTCGCTCCCACAGCCCCTTGTCTGCGCTGGACAGGCCTCCAACTCACAGTTACCCTCCAGAGCCCTGTCGTCCAGCGCTGGTCCCTCCAACTGCCTCCAGCCCCGTCCCCCAAGGCTTTCGTGCCACACCCTGGTCTCTTGTGTGCATTTGCCAGCCTTCTGCTAGGCTCAAAGGCCAAACAGCCTCAGAAGCAGACCCGGGGGCAGGAGAGAGAGTGCAGGGGTGAAGCCCTGGTCTTGCGTGTGGCCTGCCCCGGTTTGTGCTCAGGCAGACGTGATCTGTGAGCACAGGGCCAGGAGTAAGCTGTAAGCACCTCTGGGTGTGGCTCAAAAACCAAGAAACCAAACTAAAAAAGACACACACATTCACACACACACACACACACTCACACACACACCACACACACTCACACTCACACACTCACACACACTCATACACACTCACTCATACTCACACACTCACTCACACTCACACACTCACACACACTCACACACACATACACTCACACACACTCATACACACACTCACTCACACACATTCACACACTCACACACATACACTCACACACTCATACACACACTCACTCACACACACACTCACACACACTCATACGCACTCACACACACACACTCACACACACACACACACAATATTGGACCAGTCGGGTTTGTTGACTGACCCGCCCTGGAGAGGAAGTCCCCAGGTCCCCAAAGCACTGATGGCTGCCCGGCGCCCGTGGACACGCTGCAGCCCTCCCGCGCTGACCCATCTGCACCCGTGACCACCTTGCGTCACGCTCGCGTCTGATACGGAAGGAGGGTCTGGGTGCCGTGAGCGTTAGCTGGCATGGGGAGAGTCACCCAGGACATGGGCAAAGGGGCCTGACTGGGACCAGCCCTGCCCAGCTCAGGGACGCGTGGGCAGTGAGCTGCCCCCACTCGCCCTGGCAGGGCCCTGCTGGCGGGGCTGACGCCCCAGGGGGCTGCAGGGCCGTGGTCAGGAGCCCCCCCCCCACTGGGCCATGCCCATCCTTTCCACCTGCCCCCCCAGGCTGGCGCCACCTGGCGACCCAGAACCTGGGCGTGCGTCACAGCCCGGGTGAGCCCACCCTTGTGTGATACTCCTTCCCCTGTAAGCAGCAAAGTGCACGTCACAGATAAACTGCCTGAAACCCCCATTTATAAGGCCTGCGTGTCTCAGTTTCCCATGCTAAGAGGCTGACCTGGAAGACTGCTTGGAAAGGTTGGGGATTTGCACAGCACCCGGCGGACTGTCCACAGGCAGACTGGACGAGAGTGTTCCCCAGCCAGAAAGGGCAAGAGGGGACATCTGGGTCCACGGCTCCGACTGACGAGCCTCTCCAGAGGCCGGGGCCCCGCGGGTGAACCCCAAGTCCTGCCCCCGCTGGCGTGACTGTGACCCCATGAAAGCTCATGGCAGCATCAAGGACATCTGGAGACAAATGCCCGGTCCCGTCAGCCCAGAGGCGGCAGATACAGCAAGGGAAGGGGAGACGCAAGAGGGACCGAGCGCAGAGAAACCACCCAGCTCGGGGGGCCGCCCGCCTGACTGACCACACGGGCACCCCACGCAGACGCAGTTTCGAGCTGCCAGGTTGGCACCAGAAGCAACCACGCTGGGACAGAGCCAGCCTGCGGGGCGGGAAGGGGCAGGCAGGACGCTGCTCTGGGCCGCCGGCCGTGAAGAGCTGGTCACCCGTTCTAAGCTGAGTCATCGGGGATAAAGCCCGGGTCACTTCACCTTTCCGCTGTTTCCAATCGCGGGATCCATTCCAGAATGTTCTTTCCCTTGGAGCTGGAGAGATAGCACAGCAGGCAGGGTGTTTGCCTTGCACGCAGCTGACCCGGATTCGATTCCCAGCATCCCATTAGGTCCCCTGAGCACTGCCAGGAGTAACTCCTGAGTGCAGAGCCAGGAGGAACCCCTGTGCATCGCTGGGTGTGACCAAAAAAAAAAATGTTCTTTCCCTACTGGGGTTCACACAAAATATGAGTGCGTTAGACAGGACCCCATGGGCAGTGGCTAGAATGCACTGAGCAAAGTAGACTGAGCCAGTGGACAGATTAAACTGGACACCATGGGTGAATGGAAAGAGCCCTGTGGAGGAGTGGGCGGGGCCCTGTCGACAGTGGACAGGACCCCAAGACAAGTGGACAGGGCCCCATAGTGAGTAAGTGAGACCTGTGGAGGGTGAGCAGGACCCCACGGTGACTGGGACCCCTCATCTGTGCATGGGAAGTCTCTCCCTGGGCTGAATCCACCGGGCCAGTGAATAAGAGTCCTGCAGACAGTGGACAGGACCCCATGTGAGTGAATGGGATGTCGTGGTCAGTAGAGAAAACAGGAATCTGTGCTGAGTGGACTCGATCAATGCATGGGGTGAACTGGACCCCAGGAGCAAATGGATGGGCTGGTGGCCTGCACCCAGGGTGATGACCACGTCCAACCTCTGGCCCCGACCGAAGCCACTCAGAGCCTCTGCCCAGCCCTACGCGCACCCTGGCCCCCCCTCGTCTTCCCACCCCTCCCTCAGCAGGACCCCATCCAGACAAGGGTGGACACTGTGAGCAGGGCCCGGCCTCCTGTCCTGACTCAGTCTCCCCATCTGTGCATGGGAAGTCCCTTCCGGGCTGATTTCCTGTCCCTGAGCTGAACGCTCCTTCCTCAGGGTCCAGGAGTCAGAAGGGCCATCAGGGCCCTGGGCCACCGGCAGGACTGTGGCAGCCGGGGAGAGCCTGGGGGTTCAGCCGCTTGGCCCAACTTGGTCCCCGTCTCCGCTGTGGCTGGCCTCCGGGTTTAGACTGTCCTGGGGCCCGGTGGCCTGCTGAAACCACCCCCCACAGAGTGGCCAGCACTGGTGGGCAACGTGGCCTGCGGCGAGGCCCGTGGTGATCGCGGGGGCCCTGGGCTGTCCCCGCAGGCCCAGCACTCAGCCGTGTTCCCAGAACCTTCTAGAACTTGTCCTCTTGCAGGTATGCCGTCTACAAGGACCCGGCGGGCTGGCTGAACATCAACCCCATCAACGGGACAGTGGACACCACGGCCCAGCTGGATCGCGAGTCCCCATTCGTGCGCGACAGCGTGTACAAGGCCCTGTTCCTGGCCATAGACAGCGGTGAGCACTTCCCGGAGCAGGGAAGGAAGCTGGGTTGCTGGGCGGGGCAGCCACACACCTGACCACAACTGCTCGAGGCTCTGAGACCCCAGTGTCCACCCCAGGAATGGCAGACACCCCGAGACCAGCCAGCCGGGCGTCCACCATGGGCACTGACCCAGCTGCCCGTTCCTGAGCCCTCAGATGACCGAAAGGGCAGGAGGGCCTCCTGGGTGTCCCTAGAAGGGCAACTAACCATCCAGGAGGCCAACCCTGTGAGCTCTCCCCCCCTCCGAAAACCCCCCCTCTAGGGCACGGGGAGGGGTCACATAGGCGCTCAGGCTTGGTGCTCAGCCACCAGCCCCTCCCGCCCTGCACGCCCTCCTGGTCTGGCCATGTCCTATGGCTGCAGGGTTAGTGGGGCCCCCGGAGCTGCCCTGGTCCAGGAGGGAATTGTTTTCTGCCGTGGCCAGGGCTAGGAGGGGCTGCGGCCTTCCCTTCTCCGTCCCAAACCTGCCCTACCCCCATCAGAAAATGCCCCCAGAAGAGAAAGAATGGCTCGGGGCTGCCTTGTGCTCTGGAATATTCTAGAATATCCGCCCCCTCGTTCTGTTTGCTGTTGTGGGCCTCTGGACGGGGACGGCGCAGACGGTCAGAGCAGGTTCAAACATGTTCAGACACGGGGACAGATCAAGGCTCTTTAACAAGGGGGCTGCTGTGTCATGCAGGGCCACTTCCTGCGAGGGCCACTTCCTGCTAGGGCACTTCCTGCTGACATTGATGTGTTGCTGCCTTGGAGAGGCAGAGGGGAGAGGCCGGCCCCACCCCCAGGGGGAGGGAGAGGACACAAACACCCCATTTCTTACACTGCTATCAGACACTTTTGATCTGTGGGTTTTGTTTGCTTGGGGGTCATACCCGGCCGATGCTCAGGGCTGACTCCTGGCTCAGTGCTCAGGGATCACCCCTGGCGGTGCTTGGGGACCCTATGGGGTGGCGGGGATGGAACCCCGGTGGGCTGTGGGGGGCCGGGAGCCTCCCCGCTGTCCTGTTGCTCTGTGTCCGCCTCAGTGAGCGGCTCCAGCCGAGGTGCTCAGGTGCGGCCGGCGCGGCAGGGGAAGCCTTTGATGCTGCAGCTCCGGCTGCTTACGTGACCGGGCTGTCCTCTGCAGAGACAAATGTCACTTGCTTCTCCTGGAGTCCAGGCTCTCGGGGAGGCTCAGATAGCATCTCCGGAGCCAAGAAGGCTTATTAAAGACGCCCACAGAACCCCACGTGGCTGGTATCTCAAGGAAGAAAGAACTATTAAGGAAAATACCGAGACGGAAAGAGAACATTCCAGAATGCCGTAAGGTAGACCCTTATCTTGCGGATTTGCTGGCAGCCGGTCGGCTTAGGCAGTTGGCACAGCTGCTCCCGCCCGCCCAGGGGCGCTCCCAGGACAGAAACAGCCTCTCACCGCCTCGCCAGCGAGAGTCTGGAGTTCCCTGGAGGTGGACGCAGCCGGACAGGCCCAGGGCCAGGCTCCCGGAGTCTCCCCTTCCTCCCGCGCTGACAGCGTCGGTGCTCCAGTGGCTCCATCCCTCCACGTGGCATGTGTGTGCCCGTATGTGCACGTGTGGGTCAGTGTATACATATGTGTATGCATGTGTGTGTGCCTGTATCTGTGTGTGGCAAATGCCCTGTGAGCCCCCAAGAAGCACCCATGAATCCAGAACCATGCCTGGCACCTGTGAGATCCCAGTGGCACAGACACGGAGGGATCGGCCCAGACCGGTTCCTTCCAGCACCTTCTCCCCACCGTGAGCATGCCTGATCCCAGGTTGAAATATTGTGCCGGCACATTGCAGACTGATCCACGGGGCAGATTGGCGTCCAGCCTCTCATGACATGACAACTGACCATCTGAATGACCACCCCGTCCAGGCCGGACCGTGGGAGACCCCGCGCCGGGGTCTTCCTGGGTGGGGCAGGCAGGTGAGGCATTTAATTCTCCCGAGAAGATGCTAGTTTGGATGAAATCCAGCCATGAGTCACGATGGCAACCAATGAAGCCAGCATCACAGTCCTCAGTTCTGTGCCCGCGGCCTGCGGGAGCCAGTCTCCCCACCTGCGACCAGAGGCTCAGCCCTGCCAGGCAACTCCAAAACCAGAGGCCAGGAATGCAAAATCCCCAGGGCCACGGCGGAAGGGTCCTGGGCCGGGGCCTGAACCTCAGTCTAGGGAGGGACGCACCAGTGCCCCGGCCACCAGCAGGCGCCCAGCACGCACTGTCTGTGGGGCCTCTCCAAGGACAGGCCCCCAAGCGCACCCCTGTGCACCCTGATGGTGCCCCCAAGTGCCCATTCTGGGGTTTGGCTCCCAAACCCCCAGGCCCAAGCTGGACCTGGTTCCCTGGCCTTCACTGTGCCCCCAAGGCAGCGTCAGTGAGCTGAGAGCCCCACAGAAGCCCCCAGCCCCTCCCGAGCCAGCTGCCTGCGTCTGCTCCAAGTTCAGACCTTCTCCTGCCCACAGTCTCCGGCCTTTTCCCCCGGAAGCCTCTGCCAGCCACTGCCTCCAGGTCACCCCAAACCAGCTCATTCCCAGCCCTTGGAAGCACCCACAGAGCCGCTCTGGGCAGTGAATTTGGAGCCACAAGGCCCCACACCATCTCCTCTGGCTTCTACTCAGTTTTGAGCATTTCCAGGGTGACCCCCCCCATGGCCCCAGGAGCCCACACCCCCCAGACATGTGGCCGTGACCCAGGCAGGAATTGTGACCAATGGGGGATGTTCGTGCTTAAACACGGCCCGGCCCAGTTCTTTCCTAGAGTTTTCCTTTGTTCGAAAGTCTGGAAAAACAAAAGCCAAGAAGAAGAAGGGGGGAAAAAACCCAAAGCCGAGAGTCTGGATTTGGTTCAGAGACTTCCGTGTTTCAGATCTTTCAAAGGTTTGAGCCCAACTTCTGAGGGTAACCGCCCGTCTCTACATCAAGCACCCAGCCCGTTTCTCGCAGATCTATTTCCCGCCGGGCCTTTTGTCGGTTCCTTATTAATTTTCCCCACCTAGAAGATGAGGTTGGCAAGATCTCGGTTACCAGCAGGAAAGTAAAGCTCATGAATTCAAAAGCAGCGAGTCTCGGCTTGGGGCCAGTCGAGGTTTGTGAGCGCGACAGCTGTTTGTCCCCCAAACATCGCGTGTGGCAAAGCCACCCTGTCTCACCGGAGAACAAGGGGGAGGCAGGGCAGCTGAGAGCTTCCTGCGGAAATCCAAGCTCTGGCCTCATAGTTCACGGAACTGGCTGAAGGTTCAAGATACCCAGAACTGGGGCTGGAGCAATAGTACAGCGGGTAGGGTGTTTGCCTTGCACGCGGCCGACCCGGGTTCGATTCCCAGCATCCCATATGGTCCCCCGAGCACCGCCAGGAGTAATTCCTGAGTGCAGAGCAAGGAGGAACCCCTGAGCATTGCCGGGTGTGACCCAAAGAAGCCAGAAAAGAAGAGGAAAGAAAAGAAAAGAAAAGAAGAGGAAAGAAAAGAAAAGAAAGAGACATGGCCAAAGAATAAACTCAGAGAATTGAGACAGTCAGATAACTAGGCTCACAAAAGGCCGAGTCTTGGGCCCATATCTCAGAGCTCCATATGGTTTCCCATCCATTCGGCCGAATGACTTGGTTTCGGAATACATTCAGAATGAAACTATATCATGGATTCCTCCAAGATGTCCAATTAGTTCAATAAGAGAGGAAAAATAAATTTTTCAATAAAGAAATTCAACCGAACGACTCCAGCTGACAATGGAAAACCAACTTCAAAGTAATCATGCGCCTCCTCTGAGTCCTGCTGGAACCAAAGTTGCCCCCTACCCCCACCCCGCCGACCCCTGGGGAACGGCCGCCCTCCCGGAGGCTGGCTGGCAACGTCAGGGGGCCCCTTTGAGCAGATGCTTATTGGGGTGCTTGTCTGGCAGCTGTGGCCACTCTCTCAGCCCCGAGTGTCTGCCCGTGCTGCCCACTCTGTCCCCCGGGGCAGGCAACTCTGGTCAAGCTGGTTCCTTCCCCACTGACACATCCTCCCCGGGAGATGTCCAGCCCCCCTTCCTGCCCCGTCCCCTGGCTGGGCTCATGTGGAGCTCATGGGCACACGACTTGCACGGGTGAGGGCTTGGTTTCCGCGCGGGCACCAAGAAATAAACGCGGCTCTTGATCCCCAGCTAGCCATCCCTGCCCACTTGCCCGGCTGCTGCCTCCCTGCTGCTCGGGGCCTCACCCCTGCGTTATTCTTCAATTTGCTGCCCGTGTCCTCAGCTGCCTCCTGGCCAGCCTGCAGGAGGAGAGCTCAGCCCCGCCCCCTCTCCTGAGGGATGCGCTGAACCCAGTTGGCCCTGAGCTCTGTGTTCTCACTCAGGCGGCCAGGAGGGGACGCTGCTTCCCTGTGCATGACCACGGCCAGCCCCTGGCCCCAGGGCCCCAGACCACCGTCACCAGGCACTTCTAGAAGAGGCCAACAGAGGGCGCTGCAGACCACACCCTGGCGTCAGTGGAGAACAGGGCGGGAGCTGGTGTGGGAGAGTCAGCCGCAGGGTCCGAGCCCCCAGGCCCGTGCCTCCTTCCCCCCTACCCTGCACATGCACACACATGCATGAAGTGCAGCTGCACACACGCACACACACACGCACATAGACTCAAGCAGGAACACACACACACATACACATATGTGTACAGGCATGCTCGCGTGTGCTGGAGCCTGTCTGTGCATACACCGTCAGGGCGGTGGCATCCCCTTGAGTGCTGTGACCCCCTCCCCAAAGCTGGGATGCAGGAGGCCGTGGCCAGCTTCCCTCCGGTCCCCCTGGGCCCCAGAAGCAGCCAGAGGACACGTCCCCACCTCAGGGCCCTGGCGTGGGCAGGCTTCCCCCTGCAGCCAGACCCTGACTCTGGGCCAGCTTCCCTGGCCCCTCGGTTCCCCACCAGGGCGCTCTGTCCAGGCCCTGCCGCCGTGGGAAGGTCCTGCCCGGCCTCTTCCTCCCCCTGCTGGCCTCTGGTCAGGGCCCCCAAGCACAGAGCTAGGAGTAGGCCCTGAGCCCCACCTTGTGTGGCTAAGACAAGCCCCGCAAATCCCCTGGAAGGGTCACATGTGTGGGACCCCCGACTCACCTTGTCTCCCCCTGCAGGCAACCCGCCCGCCACGGGCACGGGCACACTGCTGGTCACCCTGGAGGACGTGAACGACAACGCCCCCGTCATCCACCCCACGGTGGCCGAGGTCTGCGACGACGCCAAGAACCTCAGCGTCGTGGTCCTGGGGGCCTCAGACAGGGACCTGCACCCCAACACGGAGCCCTTCAGGTTCGAGATCCACAAGCAGGCCGTCCCCGACAGAGCCTGGAAGGTCACCAGGATCAACAGTGAGTGACCCGCTGCAGCCATGGGCCTGCCCCCTGCTGACCCCCAGGGCCAGGCCCCATCCTATTCCCTGCTGACCCCTCAGGCCCCATCCTGTTCCCCACTAATCCCTCAGGCCCTGTCCTGTCCTCCGCTGACCCCTCAGGGCCCATCCAGTCCCCCACTGACCCCTCAGGGCCCATCCTGTCCCCTTGCTGACCCCTCAGGACCAGGCCCTGTCCTGCCCCCCGCTGACCCCTCAGGCCCTGTCCTACCCCCCACCCCCACCTCACCGGGCTGCCTCCTTCCTCCCCCGACTCTTGTGGTCCAGCAGCTCACACGGTCCATGTGCAAATGTGGTCAGCAGAGCTGAGCCCTGGCTTCCTCTCCCACCTCGCCACCCGCCACAGACCACATACCCTGAGCAGACCCCACTGCCCAGGAGCGGCCATGACACACCAGACGCACAGCCCTGCCCGCACACTGCCTCTTCTGAGTCCTGCTGGAACCAAAGTTGCCCCCTGCCGCCCCCTGGGGAACAGCTGCCCTCCCAGAGGCTGGCTGGCGACATAGGGGGCCCCTTTGAGCAGATACTTATTGGGGTGCTTGTCCTGAAGCTGTATGGATGCCCCCAGGCTGAGGCTGCATAGATGCCCCCAGACTAAGACCGCAGATACATGCCTTGAGGTGGCCCCCAGCCTGGTCCCCGCTCCATGACCCCCTCACAGTGCAGTCTCTATGACCACCCCCGTTCTTACAGCCTCTGTTCGCTACGCCCTGTGACTGCAGTAAATACACAGGCCCTCTGCCCCTTCTTGTCCACCCCCTGTCCTCTATGCCTGGGCGTGTGTCCTCCATGCTACACCCCTCTGCCTGTCCCATCTCTAATCTCCCTGCCATCCCCGGGATGCATGTCACCGTCCTTCTTCTAACTGCAGTGACGCGTGGCGTTCTTGGGAAGGCACGCAGAGGGGAACTAGTTCTCAGCCGTCCCCACCAGGGGACTCCGTGGAGTGGCGATCGCCCACCCCCACCCATGGTGGGGGGAAGGTTCTCCCCCACCCTCTCTGGAACGGACCCACTTTCCCTCAGACGCAGCCTGTGGCCCTTGCTTCTGCACGGTGCTGGCCGTTTCCCGTGAGTGCCGTGACCCAGCACGGTGGCCACCCGCCAGCCTATTTTCGCAGCCCGGGCCTGGCCGTCCTGCCCAGAGAAGTCTGTCCACTCTCCCAAGGACTCCCTCTGTCCCCCCCAGATACACACGCCCTGGTCAGCCTTCTCCAGAACCTGAACAAAGCCAACTACCACCTGCCCATCATGGTGACCGATTCAGGGAAGCCGCCCATGACGAACGTCACAGACCTCAGGGTGCAAGTGTGCTCCTGCAAGAATTCCAAAGTGGATTGCAATGCCGCGGGGTCCCTGCGCCCGGGCCCCTCCGCGCTCCTGCTCCTCGGCCTCTCGCTGACCAGCCGCCTGTGTAAGTCACTGAGCCCCTCCCCGTCTGCGCAGACCCTTGTGTGTCCTGCCCAGGGGGGTTCTGGGCTCCAGCTGCTATTTCAAGGTCCCTACCCAGTGCTGCCGGCCGGCCCAGTCTGGGGACTGTGCCAAGCCCCCTCGCCACCCCCCCCTCCCCACACACTGGGACAGGAAAAGTTCCTGCAGATGCGCTGAACTGTGGGAGCGAGTGGGGGGGAGGGACAGGGCTGGTGGGAGCCACCAAGTCCCACCCCCAGCCCCAGAGAAGGGCCGGGCCCCCAGCCCAGCCCAGAAATGGTCCCAGAATTTTTAAAATATTGGCCCCAGGGGTCGGAGCAATAATACAGCAGATAAGGTGCTGGCCTTGCACGAAGCCCACCGAGTCCGATCTCCAACACCCCATAGAGTCCCCCCAAACTCCACCAGGAGTGACCCTGGGTGCAGAGGCAGGAGTCAGCTCTAAGTACTGTGGGTGTAGTGCAAACAAATCAAAAAATATTCTAATGTGGACCGAGAGATAATGTGGACCAACAGACAGTCCAGAAGGTAAGGTGCTGCCTGGCGTGCAGCTGGCCCGGGTCCAAATCCCCTGAGCACCACAGGCCTCTCCTGAGCACGGAGCCAGAAACAACCACTGAGCACCAGCGGGCGTGGCCCCAAAGGCCTGATTCAATTTCGTGTTCTTTTTTTTTTTTTTACGTGCTCAGATCAGTTATGCGTCCTCAAACAGGCCTTGTCCCCTGGGCGCGGAGCCCAGGCTGGAGCTGACAATAGTCTTCTAAGAACTGTCGTTAGAACCCACAGCTGGCGGGTGCCCGGGGCAAAAAGAGAAAATGCCTGAGCCTCGCTGGTGCACAGCGCAGCAATGATTCTGGCATTATCAAACAGTATTTGAATAGATTATCCTGCCGAGGAACATCCATTGAAGGTAAAATGAGCACAGGGGGGTCACTGTTCAGGGGTGGGCAGTGCCCGTGAGGCCATGAGTTTGCTCCCCAGAGCCAGGCTACACCCTGCCCGGCTCAGCTCCAGAGGCAAGGCTTGCGGGGGACCCCACAGGAAGGGGGCAATGGGTCTGCAGACCTGGGCGCACAGATGCCCAGGGGCAATGAATGAGCCGTGAGACAGCCAGCATCCCCCCTACCTCGAGCCGGGAAGGGCTGTGTGACCTCCCCTGTTTGACTTCAGAATGAGCCTCAGCGTGGCCCAGCGTAAAAGACTGTCCACGGTTGCTCATCTGGACGTGGGCGCTGCCCGTTGGATGTGATGGTCCTGGGCTTCGGGTAAGCCTGGGCCAAGGTGTCCTTCCTCCCCAGCCCCCAGGATCACGCCCAGCAGGCACGGAGGGGCTGGGGTAGAGCCGGGAGGAAGGAGGAGGCTCCGGCGCGCACAGGGACGGGCTGAAGTGACCATGCGAACCCCTCTGAGTCGGGCTCTGACGAGAGGCTTCGAGGAAATGGGTCTGTCACACTGAAATGGGACAACGACACACCAGGCTCAGAGACGCCCCCAACCCAGCTGCCGTCCTGAGGAGATCTCAGAGTCCATCTGAGGCTCCTGGCATCGGGAGCTGGCGGCCTGCCCGGGGCTGGCCCCATGTCTCGCTTTTTGCAAGCCGAGTGTCCTTGGCCCATCTCCGTGCCCACCGTTGCTGTGTTATCTGAGGTGCTGGGTTGTAGTGGCAGGGACGTTCAGAGGCTGGGAACAGCAGTGGGCTGACCCTTCCTGGGACACAGCAGCCGACTCCCACTGACCATCCTCTGGAGACCCCTGCGGCCGTCCCTGCGCCATTGGAAAGGGAGACATGGCCTTATGCTCCCTTCAGGAACTATCCATAACTATCCAGAAGCAGCCAGTCCTCCCCCCCACCCTGCTGTGCTGTGTTCCGAGGCCTCCCTTTGCGCCACCCCCCACTTTGTGGAAGAGAAAGCCAAATTTGAGGGGTGCTGGAGCGAGCGCACAGAGGCAGGCAGCCCGCGACATCGGGTAGGACAGCAGGGACAGTACCCACGTGCCAGCTTCTGGGGTGCTGCCGGCCTCCAGGCCTCAGTCCTGAGCTGACAGAGCTGTGCCCCCCCCCCCCAACAGACCCCAGAAAGGAAACAAAACAAATGGCAAAGCAATAAGATGAACGTCAGTGAAACTATGTTTCACTGCCACTTTGGACAGCAATGGGAGGTGGAGGGAGATGCTGATTCCCCCCCCCCCCCCCCCGCCCAGGGCCTCCCTAAAGCAACTGGGTATCGCTCTGGGCAGCATCCAGGTGCCCTTCAAGCTCTGCGGGGAGTAATGCAGGCGACCTGGGAGCAAACACCGTCCTGAGGACATCCGGATGCTGCTTTCAGGTCAGCGGAAAAGCGCCACCAAAGGACAGAGTCAGGGGCCGGAGTGATAGCACAGCGGGGAGGGTGTTTACCTTGCATGCAGCCGACCCAGGTTCAATTCCCAGCATCCCATAGGGTCCCCTGAGCATTGCCAGGAATGATTCCTGAGTGTAGAGCCAAGAGTAACCCCTGTGCATTGCCGGGTGTGACCCAAAAAGACCTCGATTTGCTCGAGCAGGCCCAGTAACATTGTGAGACTTATTACTGTGTTTGGCATGTCAAATGCGTCACGGGTAGCTTGCCAGGCTTTGCTGTGTGGGCGAGATATCTCAGTAGCTTGCCGGGCTCTCTGAGAGGGGCGGAGGAATCGAACTCGGGTCGGCCCACTTGGCTGCATGCAAGGCAAATGCTCTACCTGCTGTGCTATAGCTTCAGCCCACCCAAAAAAAAGCAAAAGAAAGAAACAACAACAAAGGATCGAGCCAGTGGCATCCGCGGGCAGAGTCGTGGGAAGGAGCGGGCACTGGCACCTCACAGCTCTGTGGCGAGGACCCCGCACGGCTCTCGCGGTCAGGTCTCGAGTGTGGGAGGCCCGAGGTAGGTCCCCAGCACCGCAGGGTGTCCCAAGCATCCAGGGCATAACCCGGACAACGCCAACACTGCCAGCCTCCCCTGGATACGGCCCTATAAAATAAAATTCTAGATTGAGGGGAGCCAGAGATGGGACAGACCACGTGGCTTTGAGCCCAGAACCACAGGAGTGTGGCTACACAGTCTGGGGATCCCTAGCACTGCAGGGCCTGACCCACAGCACACTCTCGGGCTCGGCACTGGCCTGTGGGGGGCTCCCCAGTAGTGCTCAGGGGGTCTCAGGGCCACTCCTGCACTACTCAGCCAGTCAGGTTGATGGCTCAGTACTCAGTGTGCAGTGCTCCCTGGGCCCAGGGCATTCAGGGTCCACGGGGTTTGAACTTAGATCTTTCCGCGTACCAAGCGGTGCTGGGGTTTGAACTTAGATCTTGCTGTGTACCAGGTGTCCATCCCTGACCACTGAGCTATCTCCCAGGAGCATGGGATATTGGGGGGCTCCACTTCGGGGGGAGCTCTGAGCTCCCTCCTGCCTCTGTGGTCAGGAGTCACTCCCGGAGGTTCAGGGGAACCAGGAAGTGGACGGAGCACATATGAAGCCAATGGTGCCTTTAAAATGTCTTCTCACAGGGCTGGAGCGAGAGCACAGCGGGGAGGGCGTTGGCCTTTCACGCGGCCAACCTGGGTTCGATCCCTGGCATCCCATAGGGTCCCCCGAGCACCGCCAGGAGTGATTCCTGAGTGCAGAGCTGGGAGTCAGCCCTGAGCATCGCCGGGTGGGACCCCAAAAGGGAAAACAAAACAAAACAAAACAAGATAAATAAAAAAAATGTCTTTTCATGTCCTTCGAATACGGGTGGGTGGTCCAGCTCTCCCGGTCCCCAGAGGGTTCAAGGTCACAAAGCAAGAGCAACGAAAAGTTCACCGTAAAGGTCAGAACTGAAGCCCGGAAGACCCCTGCCAGCAAAGGACCCGCTTGCTCAACAAACAGCCACAAAACACAAAACGCGGGTGTAGAACATAACCAAAAGTCTCACCTGAGCCCTAACTCCTGAGGAGCTTCCCGTAAGGCAGCTTTAACCCATACCCGCAGAATCACCTTGGCTCTACTCAAATGCCGCATTGCAAAGACCTTTTTATCCAGAATTTTGAGATGCTCTTCTACCTATTTTGAACAACTGGCCCCTTGAGCGCCGCGGGGCGGGGCCCCTCCCCCAGGCTCTGCAAGCTGGGGATGGAAACCCCCCAGTGGTAGAGTGTAGCAAGCAGAACTTTCCAGAACCAGCACTCAGTTGGCCTGTCCAGGCCACCACCCCACATGCGACTCCCAGGGCAGGTGGAAGTCAGGCTGAGCTGGCCTGTGACAGGCCGCGGTGAGTTTCGGGACAGTCAGCAGGACCTGGAGGCGGGCATCCCACGAATCAGCACCAGCAGAGCTCCCCAGGCTCGGGCAGAAGGGACGCACCCTGACCTAACGCTGTCTGTCCCCCCACCCCCCTCCAGGTCTGTAAGGACTCGGACAGCCGGAAGCTTGGAGCCCTGTTTCCACGGCTACGGGACCCCCAGCTGGAGGCCGGCAGCTGACCCGGCCCCTGACGCTTCCCTCTGCAGAGCCGCACCGCACCTTCTCCGCTCATCAGGGGGAGCCCAGAACCCTCGCCCCCCCCACCCCCCAATGTTTAATGATCACGGCATAAAGCTCGACTTGCTGGGAGCAGGGACTCTTGCCATGCCCCGTGGCCGTCCGCCAGTCCCCACCCCACCCCCGGCTCTGTGGCGGGTTCCCGTGTCTGTGTGAGTGTCTGCGTGTGTGTAGGCGGCTGTGACCCACAGGGACAAACGGAGGAAGGGCCTGTGGCCTCTCCAGCTCCCGTCCTGCCGTGCCACCATGCCACCGATGCCGGGGCCGCGGCTGCGGCCACGACGGCTCTTTCTCCTTTGCATAAGGACCGCGGGCTCTCCCGGGCGTGAGCAGGGATGGACCCACCCGGTGCTGCCGTGGGGGCAGCAGCTCCCCACGCGGCTGTGACCGATGCCACAGCCCACAGCCAGCGAGGGGGACCCGTCCCCACGCGCACGGCCCTGTACAGACACAGCCCTGCGCGCACCGTTTCCTATACCCATGCATAAACTAGAGTAAATGCAGGTAGTTTTCAAAGTACCCTTTTGTGTGACTCGACTACCGTTGTTTGCAAACCTGAAAATAAAAGAGGTTCACTATGTATGACAGACGCCGAGCTTTATTCCACGGTACGGGCGGCCGTTTGGACCCTGCGTCTCTCCTTGTGCCCAAAATATCACGGACCGTCAAAGCTCACGTCACATTTTTCCAGCAGAGAAAGGTCGTGGCGGCCAGCGCCCTCTTCACAGAGCCTAGCCGGAGCGTCTGGCAAGTGTTTCAGCGTAGTTCAAGACGCTGTGTGCGAACACGCTCTGAGCCGCCCCCTGAGCTTCCTTCCCGGGGCCACCTGCTGCCATCAGAGGCCGAAGTCACGCGCTGCCCCCTCTGTGCCCTCTGTATGCTGCCAGCGTTCCGTTCCCGACCTTCCTTGCCTTGGGTTCAGTTGCGAGTCTTTTTGGAGCATAGAGAATGCAGAGATCTCTCTCTCTCCCTGGTGGCAGTAAGCGGGACGGGGGACAGGGAAGAGGAGGAGGAGGAGGAGGACGATGACATGGAGGAGGAGGAGGAGAAGGAGGAGGAAGAGGAGGAGGACAAGGAAGAGGAGGAGGAGGAGGAGGAGGAGGAGGACGAGGAGGAGGAGGAGGAAGAGGATGAGGAGGAGGAGGAGGAGGAGGACGACGATGACATGGAGGAGGAGGAGGAGGAGGAGGAGGAGGACGAGGAGGAGCAGGAGGAGGAGGAGGAGGAGCAGGAGGAGGAGGAGGAGGAGGAGGAGGAGGACGACGATGACATGGAGGAGGAGGAGGAGGAGGAGGAGGATGAGGAGGAGCAGGAGGAGGAGGAGGAGGAGCAGGAGGAGGAGGAGGAGGAGGAGGAGGACGAGGAGGAGGAGGAGGAGGAGGAGGAGCAGGAGGAGGAGGAGGATGAGGAGGAGGAGGAGGAGGAGGAGGACGAGGAGGAGGAGGAGGAGGAGGAGGAGCAGGAGGAGGAGGACGAGGAGGAGGAGCAGGAGGAGGACGAAGAGGAGGACAGCAGCTTCTCTCCTCCCCCTCCTCGTCCTCCTCGTCCTCCATTCTTTCGATGGCCCTTTGAGGTGCCCACTGGTCTCCAGCTCACAGTCTCGGTCTGGTCCCCCAGCACACACAGTTTGGGGGCCGGGGCTTCAGTGACGCTGTGCTACCCTGGGCCAGTGACAGCCGTCCCCCATGACACCCGCCCCCGACCTGGGGCTTTCTCTGGAACAAACGCTCGACAGGACACGCTGCCCCAAACGGGTCCTGAGTGTTGTCCAGAGGCCCCCAAGCAGACCCCAGGGGGAAGGGGAGTCCGGTCCCCCCATACTGTGCAAGAGTTCTCACCTGGCTTTTTAGGGTACACACTTGCTCCGTCCTGCCCCCCGCCTGTCCCTCGAGGCCAGAGGGCCACAGGGAGGAGCACGCGGGGGCTGGCCCCGAGCCCTGGCCCTGACCGTCAGGAAGCTCAGCGTGCCTGCAGCCGGCCTCCCATGATAGGCACCATGTCCAGTTCCTTCGCCAAGTGAAGGAGAACCAGGTCCTCTGTCCGACTTGGGCGAGGGAAGCCGGGAGCCCAGCACAGCGCAGGGCACAGAAACATTGGCGCAATAGCACAGCGGGGAGGGCATCTGCCTTGCACATGGCCAACCCGGGTTCGATTCCCAGAATCCCATAGGGTCCCCCGAGCACCGCCAGAAATAATTCCTGAGTGCAGAGCCAGGAGTAACCCCTGTGCATCTCCAGGTGTGACCCAAAAAGAAAAAGAAAGAAAAGAAAAAGAAAGGAAGGAAGGAAGGAAGAAAGAGAGAAAGAAAGAAAGAAAGAAAGAAAGAAAGACAGGGCGAAGGTAGTTGACCAGCCAGTTGCTCCTGTCCCCTGTCACCCGTGGCCTCTCCAGACAGGGCTGAGCCCTTCCCATCCTGGCCGTCTCTCTGGTACTGTCCCTGCAAACACCAATCTTTTAATGCATTTCCTGAAGCATAGAAGGTTTTTTGACTGCTAAAATGCATTTATTTTTGTTTACTGAAAGCAAAAAGTGGAATCAAAATACCTGTTCATTATTGCTAATGCATCTTGTTGTAGTTCAAATTACAGACCAGGGAAAGTCAAATGGGCTCCAGAAACTGCTTTTCCAAGCAGAAGACTGAGCACAAGACCACTGCAGGGACAGACGCATTACCTCCTTCACACTAGCGCCTTACTTCGTTAAAAATAACACTTTCGGGGCGGGGGGGGGGGGGGCTGGAGCAATAGCACAGCAGTAGGGTGTTTGCTTTGCACACGGCTGACCCAGGTTCAATTCACAGCATCCCATATGGTCCCCTGAGCACCACCAGGAGTATTTGCTGAGTGCAGAGCCAGGAGTAACACCATGTGCATTGCTGGGTGTGACCCAAAAAACAAAAAAAAAACCCAAAAAATAAAAAACCCACTTTCGAGCCGAGAGACATTACAGCGGGCAGGGTGCTTGCCTTGCATGTAAATGACCCAGGTTCAATTCCCAATACCACACTCATGGTCCTCTGAACCCTGCCAGGAGTGACTCCCAAGTGCAGAGGCAGGAGTAAGCCCTTTGCACCACCGGATGTGACCCAAAAACCGGAACAAAAAAAAACATGTTCTCCTTTTCCATATACTAATCACTGGCCATTTAAGAAAACATGCACGCTTTTGCTGGTCGATCGAAAGTCCCCTTTGACTCTGCCAGTGCTCGCTAGGCAGACACGGTGCGTCAGGGCTGAGACGGCTCCCCCGGTAAAGGTAGAGCCAACACACGCAGCGCCCCTTCCCCGCAGGAGTCAAACAGGACTTTGATTCTTAAAGAGTGTTAGAAATTTTAGTAACTTGACACAGGTTTTCAAAGCGTCATTTTCAAACAGTCATCCTTGTAAGAACCACCTGCCACGCCACTCTTGGAGATCAGATTGTATTTTACACAAAACAAATGAATTGGGTCTCGAACCTAAGATGCCATGACTAAAGAGTTGTTGGCAAGGCTAAGTGATCTTCTGAGTTGCCAACGCGCATTCTGTGGTTGTAAGGGGTTTGTTTATTCTTTGGGGTGGGGGGAGGCCGTTGGTTTGGGGGAACACACCCAGGTGCTACAAGCAGATTCCAACTTTCTAAATGTCACACGAAGGTGAGGTAAGCACAAATTAACACCCAGGAAGGGAAAGGTCACCCCAGAACCGGTGAGCACTGATACTGAGCTGCCCAGGTCGGAGCGATAGTACAGCGGAGAGGGCATTTGTCTTGCACGCAGCTGACCCGGGTTCGATCCCCAGCATCCCATACAGTCCCCTGAGCACCGCCAGGAGTGATTCCTGAGTGCAGAGCCAGGAGTAACCCCTAAGCATCGCCGGGTGTGACCCAACCCCAAAATTTATTGATTAATTAAAATACGCAATTTAAAAAGAAGGAGGAGGAGGGGCTGGAGCGATAGCTCAGCGGGTAGGGCGTTTGCCTTGCATGCAGCCAACCTGGGTTCGATCCCCGGCATCCCATATGGTCCCCCAGTACTGCCAGGAGTAATTCCTGGGTGCAGAGCCAGGAATAACCCCTGAGCATCGCTGGGTGTGACCCAAAAAGTAAAAAAAAGGAGGAGGAGGAGGTGGAGCTGTCCACCTTTTCCCTCTCATTACTCAAGACCCATCACTACCCAGTGACCTGGCTATGTGGCCCCCCGCTTCACTGGCTCTTGAGAGTTGGGGCTTTTGCTGATCTGACTGGGTGATGATTTTATTAATGTCCATCGCATGTGATTAGCCATCCGCCTCCGTGCTGGGTCCCTCTCCCCTTCTCTCTCTTCCCACTCTGCCGTGGCCTAACCTGCTCCTGAACAAATGCCATTTCCATTGTTTATATCGAAGCATATGCAAGGTACGTAGAGACGGCAGGGGCAGTACCGGGGAGGATGCAGGTGTGAACAAGGCTTTAGATTAGAACTTTAATTCTCAAAATTATGCATCGGTCTCTAACTTCCACAGAAATCATTTAGATAGGGATCAATCCCGCGGGCAGAAAGGCCTCGGCCTATTGCTCTGGCTACCGGGTTTCACCCATCAGTCATCACAGGGCTGCGGGCTTTGACAGCCTTTGGACCGGTGTCTGGCTCGAAATGTCAGCTGGGCCGGAGGGAGGATGAGAGCAGTGGCCGCTAGGATGCCTCTGAGAAGCCACTCGGGGCCACCCCGCAAGCACGTCTGACTCTGTTAAAGAAGCCTCTTTAGCAAGGAAGGGTCATTCTGGACAGTAAACGCAGGTCTGATCTACTGATTAAAGGGTTGGGAGCAACTGGCAACGCGAGAATTAAACTTGGGGAGTCATGTCAACACAGGCCTGACATCAAATATGAATTTTGCCGAAACTAAAACTTGTTAGAAACTTCCAGGGGCCTCTTCTCATCAACACTCAAAAAGGATAAAAGTTTGTCCCTTCTTGGTTCATTCTGTTTTGTTGTGAGCACCCCAACCATGCTCAGGGCTGACTCCTGGCTCTGCATTCAGGGATCACTCCTAACAGCGCTTGGGGGACCCTATATGGTGCTGGGGGTGACCCAACCCCAAAATTTATTAATTAATTAAAATACGCAATTTAAAAAGAAGGAGAAGGAGGGGCTGGAGCGAAAGCACAGCGGGCAGGGCGTTTGCCTTGCATGCGGCCAACCTGGGTTTGATCCCCGGCATCCCATATGGTCCCCCAGTACCGCCAGGAGTAATTCCTGGCTTGGCCAACGTCCTCCCATTGCACTCTCCCTAGCGTGATGGCAAGGAAGCTTGATGACAAACCAAGGTTTCTCATTTTCAAGTATTTCATTCACCCACACGCAGGTTCTCTGCAGGGTAGGAGGCCCCCCGGTTGTGGAATCGCTCACAGGGGCCGGGCTGCAAAGTTGTTTTACTGTGTGGGTGGAGAGAGTTGTGTGACTTCTTGGTCTCACTGGAATGAAGGCTGGGGTTTGCCGGGTGTTGGTTCAGCCCCACACAGTGCCAGGCCGGGAGCAGCCAGTGTACTCGTCGTGGTGTTTAAAGATCAACGAATTCATTCCCTTCTTTCACCTTTTGCTAAACAACAACAACAACAAAACCTCTGTTTGGAAAAACAGATAAATGATAGATCTTAGAGAGACGACACAGACAGAGGACAGCAGCCAGGTCAGTTCTGTGAGACCCCAACGGGGGAAACGTAGCCCAGGAGAGAATCCACGTTCCCTCTGCAGCCCTGGATTAAAGAGCTGCAGCTCAAAGGCCCGTGCACGCACCCTCCAGCCCACGGCAATGGGCTGTCTGCACCCACAGAACACAGGCCCACTCGGGCACGCGAGACAGACATGCTCCCGGTAGCCGGGCTCCCTCCTGCCCACGCGTGACCAGGACAGAGCGATTCCACCGTGAGGAGTGGGCGAAGTCGAGGGCCAGCGGGCTCACAAGGGGGGCGGGGGCATTTCCTCCCTGCCCGTGGCCTCTTGGAAATTGCTGGGTCTGGGCCCTAACGAGGCTGCTGACGCCTCGGCAGCCCCAGTGGACGTGCCCCAGTGGACGTGCCCACTGCCCCACAGCCCCACCCGGGCCTGCAGCCTCCTCCTGAGTCCTCAGTTTCCCTCCAGAACCCAGGGCCCTCCTCGGGAAGCGTGTTTTTGGCAGGGTCTGGCTGGGGGGGGAGGGGAGTGCCATATCTGGAGGTGCCCAGGGGTCACATCTGGCTCTGCACTCAGCAGTGACGCCGCATGAGATGCTGGGGATCGAGCCCGGCTGCCCCGCATGCAGGGAACGCGCGTCTGGCGCGGTCCCACCGCCTGGGCCCGACCTGCGGGCGTGGAGCGGGGCGGTGGGGGCGTGGTCTTCGTGAGTTGGGCGGGGCGAGCGCGGAGGGGCGGGGCGAGCGCCGGAGGGGCGGGGCGAGCGCGGAGGGGCGGGGCGAGCGCGGAGGGGCGGGGCGAGCGCGGAGGGGCGGGGCCTCGCCCGCAGCCGGAAGTCCTGGACTCGGCGAAGGCGCTTCCGGCGTGCGCCGCCGACTACAACTCCCACAAGGCGCCGCGGTCCCGTGGCCGGCTCGGGTCTCGCGAGAAGCAGTCGCTGGGGGCGTCAGCGCGGAAGTGTGGGTGACGGTCTGAGACATCACCGCCAAGCTGGGCACCGGGGAGATGGCCGAGACGGACCCCAAGACCGTGCAGGACCTCAGCTCGGTGGTGAGGGCGGGCGGGGCCGCGACCCCCTGTGTCCCCGCGTCCGGCGGCCCCCGCGACCCCCCGCGCGGGCCCGCCCGGGCCTTCCGGGGGCTCCGCGGGTCGCGGGGGCTCCTGGATCGGGGGCTCCGGGGGTCCTGGGCCGGGGGTCCCGGGGCCTTAGGGTCGGGGGTCCCGAGGCCCTGGGTCGGGGGCTCCGCGGCCTGGGTCGGGGGCTCCGGGGATCCTGGGGTCCTGGGTCGAGGGTCCCGGGGGTCCGGGGCTCCGGAGTCCTGGGTCGGGGGTCCTGGATCGGGGGCTCCGGGGGTCCCGGGGTCCTGGGTCGGGGGTCCCGGGGGTCCTGGGTCGGGGGCTCCAGGGTCCCGCAGCCTGGCCGGGCCCCCGGGACCCCCGCGACCCGCCAGCCCCTCCCCCCTCCCCAGCTCGGCGTCTGTTGCCCGTTCCTAGGTGCAGACGCTCCTGCAGCAGATGCAGGACAAGTTCCAGACCATGTCGGACCAGATCATCGGCAGGAATATCCTTGCTGCCTCCGGGGCGCGGGCCTGGGGGCTACAGGGGCCCCCTCGGTCGTGGTCCTCCCCCGCCCCTTTTTCGCTTTCGGTTGAAATGGGTGGGTGCAGCTGGGGGACCCCCGAACCGGGTGGGCTGCCGGCAGGAACCCCGCAGTTCCCGTGTCTCTCCCTTTGGGCTCCCCCAGACTCCGGTACTGCCCATTCCCGGGGGTCCAGCTCCCCCGTGTGGCAGGGCTGTCTCCTGGGGGATGGGGTTCCTTAGTGGGTGTCAGGTGTGGGGGGGGTGGGGGCTGGGCCGGGGCCCACAGCGGAGGTGGCCGCGTGACTGGGTGCCCCGGGCGCCCCGGCCTGTCGAGAGCGGCCCTTAACCAGCCCACTTGACGAGATGAGCAACCGCATCGACGACCTGGAGAAGAACATCGCCGACCTCATGACCCAGGCCGGGGTGGAGGAGCTGGAGGGGGAGAACAAGCTCCCGGCCACGCAGAAGAGCTGAAGGTGAGGGAGGGGTGGCAGGCGGGGACCCCCCTGTCCAGCAGCCCGCGCCCGCTGCGCTCGAGGAAGCCCTGGGCACTTCCCCAGCCCCCTGGCCTGTTTCGGCTAGCTCAGGCCCACCTTGCCACCTTCGTGGCAGTTCTTGGCAGGAGGGAGCCCTGAGCACGGCCAGACTCACGGTGCCCAGATGTGGCTGTCCCCTCTCTGGGTCGGGGGTAGCATTTCATTTGCAGCATTTCATTTCTAGCATCGTGGTTCCCTGGGAAGACTCAGTCTGCTAAGACTGTTTAGGTAACTTGAGTGGCAAGCCCCAGATAGGAAGGTAACCAGGATCCCGTATTGGGTGGACAGGCCTCCCAGGGATCTGCCAGCGGAAGCTCAGGCCACTTGGAAGACAGGACGATCAGAGCGTTTGGGGACAACCGAGCCCAGCTGGCCATTGTCTTCACCCTAGACTGGGCTTCTGGCCCTGGTCTGGCCTCGGGCTGGGCTCCCAGAGGGGACTCAAGCACCCAGTCGCTGCCCAGCCCAGCCCACCTCAGGTGAAGGCAAACTCCTGTGAGAATTTCGGCATTGACGTGTAAGTCAGGGCACATTACAGTAAGGAAAGGGAAATGGGATCAGGCCTTTCAGTGAGACTTTCCAACTAAATCATTTGCTATTTTGCTAGATTGTTGGACGGAGAAATTAAGTTTATCCAGTAGAAGATTCCGAACTTTTTTGATAAGTTCATCTCTCACTCTTTGTCTTCATCAAATACAGAACATGTTGATGGCATTTTCTTTTCCAGCAGGTTGCTAAGTGACGTGGAAACCGGGAGCACCGTTTTCTCGAGCCCAGAGAACACCTGGCTCTGGCGGCTCACGGTGTCAGCCAGCCGGGCTGCTGTTCCGAGGCCCTTCCACGTGCTGTCTAGTTCGTTTATAGAATGAATTGTCCCCCTCCATTCCCCGTGCTAACGTCACATCTTGGACCTTGGTCGGTTGTGCTATTAAATATTAAACACTAAAATGTTGATGGTTCCTGCATACAGTTATCAAAATTCTTAGTGTGTTTTTGTGAAGTCGTTGTTTTCTGCAGTTCTTTTTGTAGTGGTTGCTATTTGATAAAAGTAACTGTGATTTTTTTATTTTTTAATTAGACGCCTAGTGGAGACTTTGGTGATACTGAACTTTGCGAAGTGAGACCTTCCTAGCATTCCCTTGCTCTTTAATTGAATTCACATCAGTCAGCATGTTGGCGAGGCTTTTCAAATGGTTGAGACATTGAACAATTACTCAGAACTCTCTGCCATTACTCTAGAATTGCCAAAAGTCAGATTTGAACCGTAATTGTATCTTAGTCCCTGAGATTGGTTTTAGAGAGTAAACCACTGCCGTTTCATATTGTAGAATTTTTAAACATGGGGGGTGATGGCATTGCCTTATCAAATGAGATATTAAGTAGTTAGTGCTGCATGCGGCGGGTGTACTTCTGCAGACTCTGCCTTATTTGTGTACAATAGCTTAGAAAATCGGGCAAGATTCAAAACTGAATTCCCCTGTCTCAAGCTTCCGAGGAGAAAGGGCTTCCAGCAGGGCCGTGGAGTCAGCACGGGAAGACCAGGCCAGCTCAGCAGGAGACGACCCCCCGCAGCTGGCTTTAGGTCTGGTGGCCAGTTCCCTTCCTGCAGAGGGCGATGGTCAGCATGTCCCTTCCGGAAGGCCCTATGAGCAGGAAGAGACGAGCAACAAGGATGAATCGCGGAGGCTGAATTCCTGCGTATGAAGACAGAGCGCTCTATTCTCTCTTCCTTATTTTTCATCTTGAAAGGATGTGAACTTCCTTTTGTATCATTGAGATCACCTTGTGTTTCCCTTTCCTAGGACATTTATCATGTATATCGAACCCCCTTGCATTCTGGATATGATTTCCACGTGCTCATGGAAGGGAAAAAGAAACTAGCGAGCAAATGACCTGTAGTAAACTCGAGTTTCTAAGAGACAGTATTTGAACTCTTTCTAGCTGAATGCTTGCTGAGTAACAGTTGTGTTAGGGGTCGTCGACATGGTCTGCGTGGGTACCAACTGGTGTGCTTATGTCTGGATGTTAGCCCTGGCAGCCCGCAGGGTCTTGGGGGCCCCTCCAGGGCCAGGCTGACCACACACTGCTGCAGACTTGAGAGGGTCTGGATTCTGGGTCCACGGTGTGCCCCTGGTGAACGGTGAGGGAAGCCCTGCACAGCACAGCAGACACAGGCTGAGCAGGAGGGGCACGAGAGAGGCCGCAGGGCCCCTGCCGGGTGGTGGAAATAGGGCGCAGCTGAGTGGCTGTAGTTGGTCCTGCAGGAAGCCTCCAGCTGTTCCAGGGCGATGGGCTCCTCCTCGGGGGGCTGTGAGTGGTTGTTTGCCTGTGGACCAGGAGAGGTTGGGGCAGCTGCCGTGATGGCCGGGTGTGGGGTGGGTGCTGCTTTTCTCACTTGATCTACATCCAGGAAGACCCTGGGAAGGTTCTCTTCCAGGGCACCCTGGACCTCTGCTTCCGTCCACTGTCTCCAGAGCAGCTCGGTGATCAGGTCCGGGTACTTGGAAACATCCTCAAGGCCCAAGGGCAGCCTGAGATGGGACAGAAATCCAGGCTCTGCTTCCGAAGGGGGTTGTGGGCTCACCCGTGGCTCCAGGACCCTCACCCAAGGCACCAGACCGGGAGGCCACACCCTGCCAACCCTACCCCTTACCTGGAAACCCCGTCAAAGTCCCCACCAAAGCCCACAGTCCCAGCTCCAGCCACAAACTTGATGTGGTCCAGGTGGTCTGTGGGAGGCAGCCTCATGGGTGACCCCTTTGAGTTCGTTCACTGCATCAAAAGATGGTTCCTGGTTCTCGATCGAGTGATCGGTCCGGGGCACAGAGATAAGCCAGGATTCTGGAATTTGGGAAGCAGAGGGCTAAAGGTCAATCAGGCCATTTAGTGCTGACTGGCTTTTGCAGCTCCTTTTATTGTGTTCACGATTAAAACATCCAGCATACATCAGAGTACAGTAGATTAAAATACAGAAGACCAGGGCTGGAGTGATAACACAGTGAGTAGAGCATTTGCTTTGTATGTTGTCAACCCAGGTTCGACTCCCAGCATCCCATATGGTCCCCTGAGCAAAGCCAGGGGTAATTCCTGAGTGCACAGCCAGGAGTAACCCCTGTGCATTGCTGGGAGTGACCCAAAAAGCAAAAAAAAAAAAAAAAAAAAAAAAAAAGATTAAAACACCTTGGAGTACACATTTGTAGGGTAATGACACACAAAGTTCCCGATGAAGTAAATCAGACCACCTTGTAAATGTTTACGTCCCACTTGCCACATATTCCACAGCAACATCTATGCATGCCTACACAATAACCCAATAAGGTGTTTGTGGAACTTTCATCCAATCAAAGTACAGTTAATCTAACAGACTGTGGCTGCATTGGGACATGCTGACCCCAACCCATCAACCCATTTCACTCAGGGTTCCTAGCTGCTTGCACCTATGATGTGGCCTTGTTTGCGTGGCAGCAATCCTGGAATTTCCTCATGACTCTGGTCAGGCTCCAACACAATTCGATGTCTTTTTCAATGAAGATACTCAGGGCAGGTCGGGAGGGAGGCTTATTATGCACGATCAGATACTGAGATTGGTTAGGTGTTCATGGGCAAGGTCACCAGTCCAGCCACCACGGGTCGTGGTGGTCAGGACACAGTAAATACAAGACTCAACAAGGACTCAGCAAATTATCATGAGATATGTGACCAAAGATAGTTGATTGCAGGGCTGATGCAAAATCCACTGGGTAAGGTTCTAGCTTTGCAGTGGTATCCGTATATGGACCCCCAAACCAACTGGGCGTGATACCTGAGAGAGCAGGAAGAAAGCCTTGAGCACCCCTACAGGTAGCCCCAAAACCAAAACAACAACAAAATAAACAAATTGCAAGTGTTAATACTTAAACGGTGCTCGTCAATAAAGAGCACAGCATGCACCTCGGCCCACCATGAGCTAGGGACACACGGGAGGCCAAGGTCTGACCCCGAGGGCCCTGGGCACTGCTCAGCAAGCACTCCCTTCCCCAGGCAGCTTGGAGGCTGTGTGCTGAGGATCTGGGCTGCCCCCTGACCCTCCTCCTAACAGGCCTCTACAGCTCTGAGTCAGTAAAAGGCCTCAGGGACTGCTCGTTCGCCCACCGTGGACTCAGCCCCCCGAGTCCCTCGGCTCCTGCACGGGGGTCCTATTTCCAGCTGGTTCCAGGGACGCCCACTCCCTGTTGCTCCCGAGGCTATGGCCGGCTGCTTGGACAGTGGACAGGACCCCCAGCCTCCATGAGCCAGCTCGCTCTTGGCCCCTTCTGGCTTTGTGCACCGACAGGACACGGTCCCCTGGGGCACTTCGTGGGCACTGCCTTCTCTCAATGGTGGGGAGCCCACGGCAGCCACGGTGCTGAGGCTCCTGTGTCGGGAGCAGGAGCCCGATCTGGACACTCGTGGCCGGGCCTCTGCTCTTCAGGGGGACACACTGAGGCTGGCCAGGCTCTGCGGGAGTTCCGGTGCCCCACCAGCCTGGCCTTGGGCTTGCTCCATCCCAAACGCACAGACGCGTCTCCATGGCGACGCCTCCGCGCCGACCAATCCTGAGAGCGGCCTGGCCGGAAGGGGCGGTCCCAGAAGTGCCACGGGCAAGCGGGACTCCAAGCCGCCCTCTGCACTCACACCCCCGACCATGGACCGTAAAAGGCCACGGCCCGACCCCCGCCCCAGGCCTCCCCGCCGACCGCCACCCCAGACTGTCCACCGCCTACACTCCGGCCATGGACACTCACAGCCGCCGCCCGACCGGCGCCCCAGGCCTCGCCCAGGACTATCCAGCGTTGGAGAAACCCAGGCGCTGGCGACCCGGTGATGCCCTGCCCCGTGCCCTGTCCTGCCCGCTGCCCCGTGCCCCCTGCCCTGCCCTGCCCTGCCCGCTGCCCTCCCCTCCCTTGCCTCGGGGCTTCCGCTTCCCATCCTGGCCCTCAGGTCCTTCACCCGCGCCGCCCCCCCCCCACGGTCATCCTGGGCAGTAGGGCAGCGCCTGAGGGATGCGCCCACCCGCAGGCGGGTCACCGGGGGCCTCTCAGCGAGCAGCGAGACCGGCCGTGGCCGCTGGCCAGACCTGCAGCACAGAGCCGGCCGCTCCCGTCCCTTTGGTTCTCTGTGGACCACACCCGGCGGGTCATGGCCCACCCGGACCAGTGGTTCTCTGGGGCCCCATTGTGGTGCCGGGGGTCGAACTTGGGGCATCGCAGACGCTGACATGTGCTCTGCCCTGTGTCGGCCAGCAGGAGGGGAGTCTAGGAGAGGCGGGGTCATAGCTCAATGGGAACAGAGTAGTGCTCACTGGGTGGGACCATGATAGCCCGATTGCTGACCAGCGGTCATCCCCTTGCCTGTGAGAAGTGGGCTTCAAGGACACCACGGTTCCTGGGAGCCAGAGTGCATCTTCTTGGCCCAGCAAGGGAGGGAAGGGCCTCGCGGAGGGCAGTGCCAACTGCTCTGAGAGCCTGTCCTCAGAGGTTCTGCTCAGGCATCCAACTGCACTCACACTTCCTGACTCTCACCTTCTCTCTCTTTGCAGGCATCCAGGCCCTGCTGAAGGTATGTCCCCCCAATTGGCCCTACCCAGCCCTGCCGCTGCCATGGGGGATGGTGCTGTCAGGCCTCTGCTGCCTGCCAGGCTTTGGTTGTCTGCTGAGTCCCAGTGGTCACTCAGCTCTGGGGGGAACATACATGTCACTGGAAGGGACAGCCCAGCATTTGCTACACCTCTTCTGGACCAAGGGACTTCTGTCAGGCCTGTAGTACTGGCCAGAGGTTCCTGAGTGAGCTCGGCCTCGAGCACTGCCAGAGTGGACCCTAAAAAATTAAGATTAAAACAAAATAAGATGAGAGTGATAGCCCAGCAGGTAGGGCATTTACCTTGCAGGTGGTCAACCCAGGTTTGATTGATCCCCTGCCTGTCATATTGTTCCTCGAGAATGCCAGGAGGAATCCCTGAGTGCAGCTGGTGTGACCCAAAAACCAAAATGAAAAGATTAAAATCACAGAACAACTTATTAGCAACTCAGCGCACTATCCTGGTGTGTGGGTGGGGAGTGGGGTTGCCCCTAGAGTGCTCCTCCCACCTTTGGGGGCAGCTGGTGGAGAGGGAACAGGTATCCAAGCACCCCTGGGGCCCCATTCCCTGTGCAGATCCCCTCCAAGTGTCTCACCGGTAGCCCAGGTGGTCACTAGGTGGCCTTTTCCTGTGGGAGAGTTCTGAACAGGTGTCTGGGAAAGGTCAGACGCCATAGAAAACCCTTCTTGGCCAGCTGCGTGGACCTGACAGTGCCACCGCATCAGCTCGGGGCTAGGGAGGCCGGGCGGGTGGCTCTGCACGCCTCATCGGCTGCCTCTTCTCAGGTTGCCAGAGAGAAGCTAAATGAGGAGGCCGAGAAGGCACAGAAGGACTTCGAGGCCGAAGAGGCCAAAGTGAAGCAGGTGAGCTGCTGCCTCGCCCCACCCTGGGAGGCGTCTGCTGGGGTCACGCCCTGCGTTGGTGTCCTGCCCATCCTGGGGCGTGGCTGCTGTTAAGACAGTCCCTGAATGGGTGCCCCACATTCCCTGGGGCCATGGCTCCGGGAGACTGACCCACCCATGTGCTGGACCTTCCAAGGCTCTCCAGGGCTCAGCTCCCGTCCTGTTTCTTTGTTCTGTGCCGGCAGGATGCCCACTAAGCCCTCCATCCCTTTCCTCCCTTCACCACAGTGCCTGAGGGTCCCCTCTGGGTGGAGGCCAGAGATGGATGCTCAAGGCTGTGGTCACCTGGCTGATGCCACAGCTCCAAGAGGGGACAGAACGGACCAGGGGGCTCCAGGGTGACCCTGTGCCATCTTCAAATACGATGGGTAGAGCTCGTCCACTTGGTTCCAGGTGTGGCTCCGTGGAGTGACGGGACTGCCAAGAAGCTAGAGACAGAGAATGGGACAGCGGACCTGCTTGCCTTTGGGCAGCGGACCTGGGTTCCTCCTGGACTGATGTGGTCTCCCAGTCCCCAAAATGGGTCCTCTCTGAGCACAGCCTGGTATGGCCCAGAAAACAAAACAGACAAAAACCGAGCTGAGGCGCTGTGCCTTTTTGAGTCCACCCGGATTTCCTGTCTGATCCCTTGTGGCCTGGGCTTTGGGTGCAGGCTTGGACTAGGCGTGTTTGTAAGCATGGAGTTGATGGGAGGGCAGCTGGGCTCTCACTAGCAGACAGCACCCAGGAAAAGCCAAGTCTCACTGACCAGGACCTTGGCTGCCCTCCCCACTGCCGCTCCCTGTCCCAGGCTCTGAAGGAGGAGAACGGCGAGTCTGTGCAATCGTATGCCGAGAATGCCATCTGCATGAAGAACAAATGGTCGAAATTGAACCGTTTGGCATCCCGGGCGAACAATATACAAAGTGCACACAGATCAGATTGTGCGGAGGGTGAGTGCCCCTTGCAGGGTCAGTGGGGCCCTTTGGCTGGAGTGTGGTGTTCCTGCTGGTTCAGGACGGCTTCCCGATCCGTGAAGGTTGGCCCTGCCTGGGGAAACCCAGCTGGCTGGGCATCACTGATCTTCTTTGCGGGTATCCCACAATATGCAACAGTTGACCAGACAACTGAAGACAGACGTGGGTGCCAATGACCAGGAAAAGGTCCCTGCGATGATGGACAGGCTTGAACAGCTGGCGCAGAACCTGGAGGTGCACTCGTGGGTATGTCCACTGCACACCTCGAGGGCGCAGGATAGGGGAGGGGAGGAGCCCAAACCCCTGGGCCTGGCACAGCGGCTTAGCTTATGGCTTGCACAGGCGATAGAAGACTTACTGAGCTCGGCCCCCACCCTGACCACGGACCAGGAGCAAGTGAACAGGTTCCTTCAGGATATTGCTGAGGAGATCAAAAGTGAGGAAGACCATGACCAGCTGAGCCAGCTGCCCAAGGTTCCCTCCCCCGTGGACGAGAGCTCCAAGGGCATCGGGCAGGACTAGCTGTGAGGTTAGCCCATGTGCAGGGTCGGCTGCTGGGGAGAAGGGGGCCCTGCAGGCTGCTCACGTGCTGTCCGTCCACCTGCACTTCTGTCGTGGGGTGGGGTGAGATTGGCTGTTTCAGAACTGGCCAGCACATGGCTTGGGTGTCCTCGGTCCAGCCTTTCCCTGAGGGACTCTGTGTTACACTGCAGGCTGGCCTCCCTGAAGAACTAGGCCTCCGTCCACCTGGAGGGGAGGAGGTCGGCCGCCCCTGCCTTCCTGCTGACCGTGGCCTCGCTGCTCTCCACCCACCTGCCAGCCTGGATCCCTGCCCTGTGCCCGCAGGGGGCGCCTGTCTGTGACTACTTCTGATGTCTCTATAATTCCCATGTCAGGAGCAGTAAACAGATTGTTCCTGACGACCTGCCCATCTTTCTTTTGGTGATTTGTGTCAGGGTGTCGGTGTGACTGGGGTGTGAGGGTAGATCCGCCCTCAAGCTGCAAGCCAAATTCCAGGAGCATTCAAATGGGTTTCCAAGTTCCGTGGCCCAGCTCCTGTCCCTGGGACTGTGACCCTCCATGCTACGGGCTGCGGTCTGGTGGCAGCTCTGCCGCTGTGTTCACTGTGTCTGCTCCTGTGTACTCACCAGGACACTTACTTGTAGACCCTTCCTGGACCCTGCCCTTGGGCACCGCTGCTGGGTCACCCTGGTACATCTGCTTCCTCACTTAAAGTCTGTGCCCCTAACAGGACCCGAGCAATACAAACTGTGTGTGTGCGCACATGTGTCTCGACGCTGGGACCCTCCCCCGCATGACCTGCGTGTGCACACCAGTCTGTTCAGACCCATGTCAGTCTCAAGGAAGCCCAGTCATAAAGTCAGAGGCGCTACCAGCATAGCACACTGTGGGGCCCTGCCTGCCACCCAAGGAGGCTTGGAAAAGACGGAAGTGGCCGGCTAGAATGATTTTATAGTGGGAGGGTTTTTGCCTTGCATTTGGCTGACCTGCTGTATGTCCCCTAGAACCCCTTTTGTTCCCCAAGCACTGCCAAGAATTCCATCCCGAGTGCAGAGTCAAATGGACCCTCTAGCACTGCCGGGTGTGGCCTCTGCTCATACAGGGAACCAGTGTGAGGCTGCACGTGCGTGTGTGGATGCATGCCTGTGTAAGCTGTGTGCATGTGCAGATGTGTGAGTTGGGTAATATGTATGTGCACTAGTGGGTGCACATGTGCAGCTATCCTGTGAACACATGTGCACATGTGATGTGCTTATGAGTACCCCTGTGGAGTCAGACTGAGGTGGGGCTGAGTGCTTGAACGTGTGGAATCATGTGCATGTGAATATATGTGTGTAGGGAGTATGTGTGTGGGCACATGTGTACATGCACTGTATTGTCCATTTACATATGAATACAGGTGTGCATGGGTTGAGCATCGGGTGTGCATGTGTGTGAATACACGAGTGCTGGGATATACGTGTATGTTGAAAGAGGCAGCGGAGCCCGGACTTGTGTGTGAAGACCCTCCTCCATGTTCTCAGGAAGGCCTTTCTCAAGAGCATGGGCTCCTGCCTGCCTGCAGTGCCAGGTGTGCTTATGTCTGGTGTTAGCCCTGGCTGCCCACTGGGTCTTGGGGGACCCTCCAGCGCCAGGCTGACCACACACTGCTGCAGAATTCAGAGCGTCTGGATTGTGGGTCCACTGTGTGTCCCTGGTGAGGGGTGAGGGAAGCCCTGCACATCACAGCTGACACAGGCTGAGCAGGAGGGGCAGGAGAGAGGCCACCGAATCCCTGCTGGGCGGTGGAAACCTGTGGAAACTATGGCGCAGCTGAGTGGCCGTGATGGCTGGGTGAGGAGGTGGGTGCTGCTGTTCTCACCTGATCTACATCTCGGAAGACTCTGGGAAGGTTCCCTGCCAAGGCACCCTGGACTTCTGCTTCGGTCCCCTGTCTCTGAAGCAGCTGGGGGACCAGGTCTGGGTACTTGGGCACGTCCTCAAGGCCCAAGGGCACCCTGAGGTGGGGCAGAAATCCAGATTCTGCTACCACAGTGGGCCAAGGGTCCACCCGAGGCCCCGACACCTTACAAAGGCACCAGACTGGGGGGCCCAAGCTCTCCCAGCCCTGCTCCTTACCTGGAACTCCATCAAAGTCCCCACCGAAGCCCAGAGTCCTGGCTCCAGCCACATTCAAGATGTGGTCCAGGTGGTCTGTGGAAAGCAGCTGTGTGGGAGACCCCTTGCAGTTCCTTCATTGGGTTGGAACGTGGTTCTTGGCTCAGGATAGAGATTGGTAGGGAGCGCAGAGATAAGCCAGGCTTCTGGAGTGTTGGGAAGCAGAGGGCAGAGCTCACTCAGGCCATTGAGCACTGACTGGCTTTTGCAGCCCCTTTTGACTGGGTTAACGATCAAATATTCAGCATACATCAGATATAGAAGATCAAAACACCTTAGAGTACACGTTTTGTAGCGTAATAATCCATAAAGTTCCTGATGAAGTAAATCAGGCCACCTTGTAAGTCTCTCTATCCCACTTCCCACATATTCCACCGCAAAATCTATGCAAGCCTACACAATAACCCAATAAGGTATTTGTTGAACTTTCATCCAATAAAACAACAGTTAATGTAACAGAAAACAGCGGCATTGGGACATGCGGACCCCAACCCAGTTCACTCAGGTTTCCTAGCTGCTCGCAACTATAACACAGCCTTGTTTGCAAGACAGCTTTCCGTGAGCTTCACATGACTCTGGTCAGGCTCCGACACGTGCTGATGACTTTTTCGATGAAGATACTCAGGGCAGGTTTGTGTGGAGGCTTGTGCAAGATCGGATGCAGAGATCAGTTATACTTCCATGGGCACAATCACGAGTCCAGCCCCCATGGGTCGTGGTGGTCAAGACGCAATAAATACAAGACTCAACAAGGCCTCAGCAAACTATCATGAGAAACATGACCAGAGGTCGTTGATTGCAGGGCTGATGCAATAATCCATTGGGTAGGGTTCTTGCTTTGCAGTGGCTCTGCGTATGGACCCCAAGCCCCACCAGGTGTGATCCCTGAGAGAGCCAGAAGTAAGCCCTGAGCACCCGCACAGGTAGCCCCCAAACAAAAACACACAAAAAGAGCAGTGGATTTCAAGTCAGTTGTATGTTTAATACTTAAACGGTGGTCTCCAATAAGTAGCACAGGGTGCACCTAGACCCACCAGTACCTGAGGAAACGATGCCAACAACTAGTCACATGGGAGGCCAGGGGTCTGACCCCAAGTGCTCTGGGCACCGCTTAGCACGCACTCCCTTCTCCAGTCAGCGTGGAGCCTGTGAACTGAAGGTCGGGGCTGCCCCCTCACCCTCCTCCTAACAGGCCTCTACAGCTCTGCGTCGGTAACAGCCCTCAGGGACTGCTCGTTCGCCCACTGTGGACTCAGCCCCCCGAGTTCTTTGGCCCCTGCACGGGGTTCTATCTCCAACCGGTTCAGGGACGCCCACTCCCTGTTGCTCCTGAGGACATGGCCGGCTGCTTGGACAGTGGACAGGACCCCCAGCCTCCATGAGCCAGCTCGCTCTTGGCCCCTTCCAGCATTGTGCACTGGCCAGACATGGTCCCCAGGAGGACTCCATGGGCACTGCCTTCTTCTCTCGATGGTGGGGAGCCCACGGCAGCCACGGTGCTGGGGCTCCTGTGTCGGGAGTAGGGGCCCCGATCTGGACACCCGGGCCTCTGCTCTTCAGGGGGAAAAACTGAGGCTGGCCAGGCTCTGCGGGAGGCCCGGCCCGCACAGGCCGTTCCTTGGGCTTTCTCCATCCCAGACTCACGAACGCGTCTCCATGGCGACACCTCTGCGCCGACCAATCCCGAGTGCGGCCTGGCCGGAAGGGGCGGTCCCGGAAAAGGCGGTCCCGGAAGTGCCTCTGCCAAACTCGACACCTGTCGGCCCGCTGCCCACAGACCCCGGACTATGTCCCATAAAAGGCCACGGTCCGACCCCGCCCCAGGCCTCCCGCCGCCATCCACCCCGGACTGCCTGCTGCTCGCTGTCCGCCGCCCCGGAATGCCGCCGCCCGCCCGCTGGCCATGGGCCGTAAGACCCGCGGCCCGACCCCGCCCCAGGCCTGCCCACAGCTGTCCAACGTCCGAGAGCGCCAGGCTCTGGCCTCCTGGTGCTGGCCTTCCCGCTGCCCGTGTCCTGCCCGTGCCCTGCCCGCTGCCCTCCCCTCCCCTGCCTCGGGGCTTCTGTTTCCCATCCTGGCCGTGGGTCCCTCACCCCAGCCGCCGGGCAAGGGCTCCCCGCGCGCTGCCCTCCCAGCGTTCATCCTGGGCAGCGGGGCAGCCCCTGAGGGATGTGCCCACCCGCAGGCGGGCCAGCTGGGGCGTCTCCACCAGCAGCGAGCCAGCCGTGGCTGCGGGCCAGGCCTTCGGGCGCAGATCCGGCCGCTCCCGTCCCTTTGGTTCTGCATAGGCCACACTGGCAGGTCATGGCCCGCCCAGACGGTGGTTCTCTGGGGTCCCCCTCGCGGTGCTGGGGATCGAACTCGCACGTCGCAGACAGTGACACGCGCTCTGCCCCACGTCGCGGGTCGGAGGGGAGTCTAGGAGTAGCCGGGCCATAGGTCACACGGACAGGGCAGTGCTCACTGGGACCATGGTGGCCCAATTGCTGACCCCTGACGGTCAGCGGTCATCCCCTGGCCTGTGAGAAGTGGGCTTCAGAGGACACAGCGGTTCCTGGGAGCCAGAGTGCATCTTCCTGGCCCAGCAAGGGAGTGAAGGGCCTCCCGGAGGACAGCAGCTACAGTTCTGAGATCCTCTATCAGAGGTTCTGCTGAATTCACACCTCCTGACTCTCACCTTCTCTCTCTTTGCTGACCACATGGCCCTGCTGAAGGTATGTCGCCCTCTCCCCCCCCCCCCCCCCCCCCGCCAGGTTGGTCCTACCCAGCCCTGCCGCTGCCATGAGGGATGGTGCTGTCGGCCTCTGCTGCCTGCCAGGCTTTCCTTGTCTGCTGAGCCCCAA